GTGGATAGAGAACTGGCTGAATGGCAGAACTCAGAGGGTTGTCATCAGCGGCGCTGAGTCTAGTTGGAGGCTGGTAACAAGTGGTGTCCCCCAGGGGTCAGTACTGGGCCCAGTCTTGTTTAACTGCTTCATCAACGACCTGGATGAAGAGTTAGAATGTACCCTCAGCAAGTTTGCTGACGACACCAAACTGGGAGGTGTGGTAGATACACCAGAAGGCTGGGCTGCCATTCAGCGTGACCTGGATAGGCTGGAAAGCTGGGCAGAGAGGAACCTGATGAGGTTCAACAAGGGCAAGTGCAGGGTCCTGCACCTGGGGAGGAACAACCTCATGCACCAGTACAGGCTTGGGGTGGACCTGCTGGAGAGCAGCCCTGCGGAGAGGGACCTGGGTGTCCTGGTGGACGACAGGTTAACTATGAGCCAGCAGTGTGCCCTGGCTGCCAAGAAAGCCAATGGGATCCTGGGGTGCATCAAGAAGAGTGTGGCCAGCAGGACAAGGGAGGTTCTCCTTCCCCTCTACACTGCCCTGGTGAGGCCTCATCTGGAGTACTGTGTCCAGTTCTGGGCTCCCCAGTTCAAGAAGGATGAAGAGCTACTGGAGAGAGTCCAGCGGAGGGCTACAAGGATGGTGAGGGGACTGGAGCATCTCCACTACGAGGAGAGGTTGAGGGAACTGGGCTTGTTCAGCCTGAAGAAGAGAAGGCTGCGAGGGGACCTTATAAATGCCTACAAATATCTGAAGGGTGGGTGTCAGGAGGATGGGGCCAAGCTCTTTTCAGTGGTGCCCAGCGACAGGACAAGGGGCAATGGGCACAAACTGAGGCACAGGAAGTTCCGTCTGAACATGAGGAGGAACTTCTTCCCTCTGAGGGTGACAGAGCACTGGAACAGGCTGCCCAGAGTGATTGTGGATTCTCCCTCTCTGGAGATATTCAAGACCCGCCTGGACAAGGTCCTGTGCAGCCGGCTGTAGGTGACCCTGCTTAGCAGCGTATTGCAGTCACTAGTTTAGTGAAAACTGACACCTGCAGTGAATGTTTGTCTAAAAACAGTGAAGATGCTTCTTTAAAAAAAAATTGCCTAATCTTTGTTTGCATTTCTGGATATACTCCCATCTTGGAAGGAGTAGGCAAAATGTCTTAATTTTGCAGGCTGCCCTGTTAAAGCTATCTTAGCTGTTGCATATAGTGGGGTGTTTTTGGTCCAGTAGGAATCTTAGGTGTTGTTTACTATTTTCCTTGTGAGCTTTCAGCTGTATGGACCTTTTAGTTGTATGCACAATGGTGCAAATATTAACCAAAGTAAATCTAAGAAGTAATTACAATATAGGAATAAGATTTTTTTTTTTGATATATGTTTAGGGCCAAATGGAAAGTTTCCAGAAGTCAGATTAATATTCTGTGACTAGGGGTATAAATTTCCCTTGGATGTTGTCATATAAGAATGTGGACAGGAAACAGCCTTCTGTATCAGCTGTTCATGAAACATCTAGATCTGGTAATTTTGCAATATGCTCAAAACAGCTCAGTCCAGAGAGGAAAACTTTACATTGATGACTTCCTGTTACTTCCTGGCTTTCCTTGATTGACTTGCACTTTCAAAAGCTTTACCAGGAAACAGAGTATGTTTGCAAAGCCTGAGTAGAAAGAAGGATTCATTGATGACTTCATGTACCAGCAGTCACCATTTTGGAAATTTTCTCATGTGTGTATGTGTAAAAGCATGTGTAAAAGCAAACCAAGAAGCTTCATGGGAAAATTTATAATGTGGTTGTAGCTGATAATGTTCATTTACCAGCAACATTAGATTTTTGTGTGTGTAAACCTAGTGAAAAGGGAAAAAATGAAAATTCTGTAAGCATCATTTAGTTTGCCACAATACGCAAATGTACCCTTAAAATGACCAGCTTGGATGGTTTCTAAGAAATTTCGTACTGCATTGTGACAGAAAACACGCCTTACAAATTCCGTCACTTGAGAACTTGAGGGGAAATCTGATGTGAATTAAGTAACTGTCACTCAGATGGACTAAGCTGCCAGCCTGTTTCCACCTCTGAGATGGGAGTTCTGGCATGTACCTTAAGGCAGCCAGAAATCTAAAGCTAACCTCTACCACTTGGATAATTCTTGCTGTTGTATGTTGTACAGTGAATAACAGTATTAAGTAGATGAATATTCAGCTTTTGTCTTGAAAATATAGATGGACAGAGCAGCTATGCAGAGCAAGCATGTTTGCCATATGCCAAGTGCCACCTTGATGGTTTTCACTGTGCTGCCATTGTGAGCAACTAAATTTTGGTTTTCCCATTCAAACAACACATTCCAATTAAACTCTGCTGCTCTGTACATAGTACTGTGATGGCATGTGTAGAGGTGTGCATGTATCAGCAAAGTGATCTTACAGGGCTTAATTCACCAAGAGTCTGAGCCTAGAGTGATTAGATGAACCTGGATCATAGAATCATAGAATGGTTTGGGTTGGAAGGGATCTTATAGACCATCTAGTTCCAACGCCCTTGCAGTGGGCAGGAACACCTTCCACTAGACCAGGTTGCTGAAAGCCCCATCCAACCTGACCTTGAACACTTCCAGGGAGGGGGCATCCAGAGCTTCTCTGGGCAACCTGTTCCAGTGCCTCACCACCCTCATAGTAAAGAATTTCTTATATCTAATGAAAATCTACCCTCTTTCAGTTTAAAGCCATTATCCCTTGTCCTATCACTCCATGCCTTTGTCAAGAGTCCCTCTCCAGCTTTCTGGTAGGCCCCCTTCAGGTACTGGAAGGCTGCTCTAAGGTCTTCCTGGAGCCTTCTCTTCTCCAGGCTGAACAACCCCAAATCTCTCAGCCTTACCTCACAGGAGAGGTGCTCCAGCCCTTGGATCATTTTTGTGGCCCTTCTCTGGCTCCGCTCCAAGAGGTCCATTGCTGCTTTTGCTGCGGGCTCCAGAGCTGGATGCAGGATTCCAGGTGGGTTCTCACCAGAGCAGAGTAGAGGGGCAGAATCACCTCCCTCAACCTGCTGGCCATGCTGCGTTTGATGGAGCCCAGGATACGGTTTGCCTTCTGGGCTGCGAGCATACATTGCTGGGTCATGTTGAGCTTGTAGTCAGCCAGCACCCCCAAGTCCTTCTCCTCAGGGCTTCTCTCAATCCGTTCTCTTCCCAGCCTGTATTTGTGTTTGTGACTGCCCTGATCCATGTGCAGGGCCTTGTACTTGGCCTTGTTGAACTTCGTGAGGTTCTTACAGGCGCACCTCATGAGCCTGTCCATGTCCCTCTGGATGGCAGAGAGATTTCAACATATCTAAGATATTCACAGGCTCAAACACTGACTGTGCTGGAGCTGCTAGGGAGAGGAAGCATGGTGAGGAGCAGCAGTCAGTTTATGTAGACCTGTAAGATGCACTGAGGGCCCATTTTAAGAAGTTAGCGACAAACTCTTTTCTGTAGGTTCAGTTTAGCTGACAGGTTACACAGTAAAAAAAAGGGTGCTTACACAGGGATCAAAATAAAGACTGAGATAAATGACTCTTTCACTTAAACATTAGCAGTTTCAGCAGCACAGTTTTTTCTTTGATTGATAAGCAGGTGCAATACTGGTACCTCTTTGCATCTCTTAAAATACCTAAATTAATATGTGTATCCCAAATTACTGATATTCAGTGAGACACATGTCACTGGTCCTTCTCATGTCACTGCTGGGCTCCATTTATTTCCATAGTATTTGGGGAAGAGGAGGTGGCTTTTCTTTTGCATGGAATTGATACCTTGATAAAGGAGTTTGGGAGTTCAGAAGTTTTGATGTCATCTTCATGAGAAACTTCAGGGGTTTTTTGGACAAAAGCCACTGATCGCTCCGTTGCGTCTTTACAAAGATGGCTAAGTTAGCAAATATTTGATTTGAATACTGACGTAGTCAGTGACGAAAGATAAATTGGACACCCACATTACCAGATGTGGCTGCCCTGTAGGTTTCTGAGAAATTTCTATTGAGCAACATAAAGCTATGTTTTAATTGATGTAGGAGTGCTCTCTTTGAGTACAGTAGTTCAGTTGCAGCCTGGCAATCCAGTTGATCACAAGACTAAACAGTGCTTTCTACTCAACACAGTGGATTCAGTTAAACTTCTCCATGTTGAAGGCATTGACTGTGAGATATTTTTGTGGCTTGTGTTTTTGGTGTTTTGTGGGTTTTTTTTTCTTCCTGCCAGCAAGTTGCAGTTTCAGACTGTTTATACTGAGTCCGTTGTTAGTTACTGAAATGTCAGGTCAGTGCTGCACATTAGTTGTTGTATTGGGTTTATGCGGCAAGGTTTTGGTACTGGGGGAGGCTGCAAGGGTGGCTTCTGTAAGAGGCCAGGCTTACCCCCATGTTGGACAGACCCAGTGCCAGCTGGCACCAGGACGGACCCACCACTGCTCGAAGCTGAGCCCATCAGCGCCTCTGTGATAACACATTTAAGAAAGGGCAAAAAATGCTGCACAACAGCTGTCAGAGAGGAGTGAGAATATGTGAGAGAAACAACCCTGCAGACACCAAGGACAATGAAGAAGGAAGGGGAGGAGGTGCTTCAGGTGCCAGGGCAGAGATTCCCCTGCAGCCTGTGGAGAAGACCATGGTGAAGCATGTTGTCCTCCTGCAGCCCATGGGTGTCCATGGTGGAGCAGATATCCACCCTGACTCATTTAGACGCCTTTTTAGCTGGAATACTTCTAGTAATTACAAACTTTTTTTAGTTCGCGGTGGAAATAAGCAGATAATGCTGTTTGGTTTTGATCTCCTGAAATGTCAGCAGACTATACTGATGTTATTTGTTGATGTAAGCGATGAGTGTGGGTTCTTGGTAAGTTCTGGTATTCCATAAACATCTGCTCACTCAACTAGCTGTAGCATCAATTTATTTTTTTGCTAGGTGTTTAGGGACTCACTTATTGGGTTGGGTGGTTTATTTTTTGCAGAGGATGAAATGTCTTTAATTTTTCTGTAACTTCTTACAGGTATCAGACGATGGTCGATATGTCTTGCTATCTATCCGAGAAGGTTGTGATCCAGTGAACAGACTGTGGTACTGTGATTTACAGACAGAGCCTCAGGGTATATCAGGTATGTTTTCTTCCTTTCTAAGTTTTGGTTTATTCTAAGACAATATAAGGCTTGAAATACTTTATATATGATTAAATATATGTATTTAAATATGCTTATTGCTTAACCTCTTCTCTTTTTTTATAATGCAGAGATTATGAGAAAATATGCACTGCTTCTGCTGGCATTCCATTTTCTGTTATATATCAGTAGATGGAAAACTCCATTCTTAGTCCTGTAGTTTGTTTAAAAGGTCACAAGGAAAAAATGAGATGATATAAGCAACCTTACCAGTGTGTGTTCCATTTCTTTCTACACCACTAATACTTTTCCATGTTCAATTTTTTTACATTTTAAAAGTTCATGTGTCTCCCTTCAAGAGCTAATCTCCCTTTTTTGAAAAAGGTACCTGGTTTATAGGTAATATTTTTTTTTTCTCCCTATAGTACTAGGAAACAAACATAAATCCTCTAATATTTTAGTAATACAACTTTGCTTTGTAACATGATTATTGTTACAGTAGAAATATCTACTCGTATTTTGAATACACGTTCGTGAAATGCTCCTTCATAGAATGGTTTGGGTTGGAAGGGAACTTTTAAAAAAAAAAAACAAAAAAAGGATCATCCAGTTCCAGCCACCCCTGCCATGGGCCAGGACACCTTCCACCAGACCAGGTTGCTCAGAGCTCCATCCCGCCTGACCTTGAACAATTCCAGAGAGGGGGCAGCCACAACTGCTTCAGGCAACCTGTTCCAGTCTTTTTCCTTGCGTTCCAGTTGGATTAGATTTTGACTTTTGTGTATTTCACTTTTTAGCCTTAATGGTATGGGCTGAAAGTATGGTACTTGGCTCCATATGGCTATTGTTGATGATTGGCATAGTTAGTTGTTTTACTGATTGGTGGATTTGTGTTTCCAGAGTATTGGATTATTGAAATCTCTTCCTCAGTATGTGCTTTGTGTAGAACGCAACTTAGGTCGCTGTTTCTTTGCGGCTTCTGTCTTCGAAAGCTTCAGAAACAGAATTAATACTGCAGTAGCTCCTTGTTAAATATTGGATCTCAAGAAACTTGTTCTCTTGCCAGTAGACAGAATATTTGAGGCTTATGAGTGTGATTAGAGCTGATAGCAGCTCTGCATTACGGAGCGTATAGTTCTGTTTCTCCCTGCCTTTATTACACTATGTGATTGTGTGGTCTTCCCTTAGTTCATTAACAAGTCTTAGTACAATATTTGGAATTTTGTTGAGTTAAGTGTTAGTGATGATAGTTAACAGCTTTATACTGCTTTCTGTGGGAGTATTAGTTTTGTTTTGTGGGCATGTCATTATATCCTTTTATAAAGGATATTTCTTAATTACTTCTGAACTTGTCTTGCACATCTGAGTAGTCGTTTAATGTCCTCTTGAATGTATAGAATGGCAGGCTTAATCAAAATTATTACAGATGCTTTCCGTGGGACTTTTACAAACATAAAATTGTGTAGATAAAACTGTTTAGTATAGTGAAGCATTTTCATAAATGATAAATTGCGTTGTCATTCAAGTTGACATTTTACAGCTAGAGATAGAATACATAAAAAACATAGCTCTCCTCCCATATTCACCCTCCCATTTATAGATACACTGGACAGCCTTGAAGAGAATACTAGCATTGAGCCTTGAAAGACCATGGATGAGATAATGAAGCTTCTGTTTTGTACTACCTGGTATAAGGTAAACCTACAGTTTAACCTTTTCCAGGCTTAGAAATGCTTTTTTAAAGAAGTTTTTTCTCTGAACCGGTCTTTGACTTGCCTTCCTATTTGTTTATTGTTGGGTAGGAGTTGTTCCATCCCTCCAAATTCTCCCTTTTTGCATACAAGAGGAAAGATCTAGCTGTAACCATTTGCTTGCACAAATTATAATATAAACTTACAAACTCTCGGTATCTGTCTCACTAAGTTGCCAAATGCATTTTCAGTATAAAGAGTCTTATCTTTACCCATGTCTTTCTGCCTCCATGTTAGTAAGCACAGATGTAATAGTAAACATCTGGGATGTTTCCTGGACTTGATCTTCTATGCAAATGTAAACAACTTGAACCACTGGTCCTTCAGCCTTTGGTGGACAGAGGCCAGAAGTTGAGCCAGCAGTAGTGTATGTAAGCTTAATTCTTGGCTCTATCAATGTAGACCCCAAGAGGTGTAATTTTAGTTCAACTTGTAATTTACTGGGACAGCAAGTGTAGGAGAGGTTGCTTGTGAATTTAGGGGAAATGAATGCCAAATTTCATTATTTAAACTGTTTCAGACAAGTAAATAAGCAGCTTTAGAAAAACGGAGTTTAATGATAAGTCTGTGTCTTGACTGAAGACTTGCATTTAGCTGCCAGTTTGTACAGACTACTCAGTGGTATCTCAAGGTATGTTCAGATGGGTTAAGATTAAGTGATGCTTAGAGAATTATGTATAACAGAAGCACGTTCTTAACAAAACCCTGAGATACAAAAGTACTTGTTACTCTATCTGGCTCTTGTTACTCTATCTGTAAAATACTGTGTTCAGTACAAGGGTCTATGTAAGTATCAAACACTGTCACTTGTTATGAAACTTAGAGAATCAAGTGTATTGGAAAAATATCTGTACTTTTAAAACGTATTACATTATCCTTCTGTCTTTTAGAACAGACTTTATTTATGAATAGACCTCATACTTTTGGTGACATTTAAGAGATTGCTTGCCATTTTCCTCCTTCAAAACTATTGAGTGTTGAAACTGAGCCTTTCTACCTGACCTGTTTACAATGATCTGTTTGTTCAAAAATCTATTCAGAATACCTCATTTAGTTTTGAAAAAATTATAAAGGAAAGTAGGCTAGCTAGTGTATTTCCTGTGTCCTAGATGGTACTTGATATAGATAAATAATTAGATTTTCAGGCACATGTTTTTTCTGCCCTGCTTGTTCTTTTAATCCAGGTTGTCCAAGAATACACCAGTTCGTTAGAAGATTTTCTTTTTGTGCTTTAGATCTTTCAAGTCTCAAACTTCTTTAGGCTTATTCAGAGGGCATCCAACACAAAAGGCAGTGAAGCCTTTTTGGAAGGTAACAGGCAGTAACATTTTACATGGCATCCATTATTTATATCATGTATTTCTTTGTGAAAAGCAAAAGTTAATGGATGAGATTCTAATTCTTATGAAGTTTGTGGCAAAACCCTAATTATAGAATCACACACGCTTCAGCAGATTGTTTTTAAAGCGCTCAGTAGTATATATTGTTTATAAAATAAAGTTTCAATCAGAGAATCATGAACTTCTCTTTTTTAAAATACTTTGTTTCAAGGTTAACATACCACTGCATAATTTGAAATGCTACGTGAAAAAAAAAAAAGAAGCATTACTTAGAATTGCACAAAAATGCAAAGAACTGATTCTCATCTGTGACTTACTACTTGAAAAACCTATTTCAGAATGTCATGTTAACTAACTTAGGGGCACCTTTCTTGATTTTTTGATTGCTAGTAGTGCATTCTTTCCCTTTGACAGGAGGAAAGCAAGTTTCTGAGTTGTTTAAACAATTTTCATTTAGAACAACGTGTTCTAGTAGTCAAGATGTACGACCACTGAAGAGTCAGTTTCTTTTCCTTTTGATACTGAGGCCTTGTGGAGTCAACTGTAGTTCTGTTACTGTTTCTTAGAGATGATGGTTGCAATGATAAAGGCTGCTTATTTGGCCTCCTTGCTAACAAATGGCTGTGAAGAAGTCATGAAGTTCAGTGTGGCAACCTCAGTACTGACTGCCAAAATGCCAGGTGGTTGTCTGTAGGAAAACTGCAGGGATGTTGGTGATGTGCAGTTCCTTATGGTTATAGATCAATAGTTTATTCCCAAGATAGAGAAACTTATCTTTTTACTGGGACATAAATATCCATATTTCATGATTTAAGAAAAGTGGGATAATTTGATTTTTTAAAAAATAGTGCATTTACTTGTTTACACCTGTGTATATTTTCGTTGTTCAAAACCAAAGAAAATGAGTTCTGAAAACTAAAAATAAATGCTGTTATTAACGCTTTTTGCTTCTGAAAAAAACAGAAGGAATTTCTTGGAGATATGAGACGTGAAGGTGTCTCGCTTTCATGTTAGGAACTGTAACAGCCAAAAAGTAGAAGAGGAGAAAGTCTCCTCTACCTGTAGATTAGATGTAAATTTCAAAGGAAGGGGTGAAAATAGCAGGGTGCATTGAAAGAATGAGTGTGTGTGCACGTTCCCTAAACAACTTTCTTTTCTTTTGTACCTGTGGCAAATTTAGCATTAGAAAATTATGCATAATATGTCTTTCAGTGGGAAGGATGTCAGGACAAAATAACAAAACACAACCAAAAGGTTGCGTCAGACCTAATAACCAAAAAGTTGCATCAGACCTAGGTCCAAGTGTGTCCTGATGTACTATATGAAAAATTGGTCGCTTGTTTCATACCTAAGATGCATCAGATCTTTTAATTATTGAATCTTTTTATAGTGTTGGTAGTAACTTCTATGTTAATCTGAAGGAAACCGATATTATTGAAACCACAAACTGCTAACTTCTTGCCTGTTTATTACAGTGATATATGTTTCACAGCTTTAAAGTTGAATTCTTTAATGTCACACTTCATCATTTAGCTGTTACTGTACTGATGATGGTCTTCATTTCTAGGCAGAGTTAAAGTGGCAGTAATAGTTGTTTGGTTGGTTTGTAACTGTTGTTGTCCTGGGACTCTGTCCTCAAGATTAAAACTAAGAAGCCCTACATGAGTCAACAGGAATGCGACAAATTGAAAAATATAGTTTCTTGAAAACAATCCAGCCTTACCAAAAAGAAGCACTAAGTTGCTCTGTTCAATGAAGACTGTGCAAAGAAATTTCTCTTAGCAATAACACGTCATCAACACCATCCTGTGAATGAAACAAGAATTTTTTTTCCTTCTCCTAAGACTAAATGATTATTAGTTCTGTAGGACAGATGAGTAACTTAAATAGATTTTACCCTGTTTGAGTT